TTTGGGGGAATCAATTTTTTTTTATATATTTTATACAAATGTTTAGGGATTTAAAAATAATTGGCTCAATTATTATTTAAAAACAATTTTAACACGTTCAACGCCGCCCGTGATTTCAGCAATTATACCGCGACGCCGCGTTGCAGGCATCCGTTGTAGTATCGTATATAACGCCAAATGAAACAAATTATTGTATTTTCAATATTATTAGTGGCAAAGTAGCCATATTGCATGATACAGTATGTTACTATTATTAAATAACAGTAGAAAAATTCATAATATAATAATATATCTAATATACACCCTGTATACGTTCATATACATTTTCTTGGGAAGGCCGTCAAAAACAACGATTATCAGTATCTAATAATAACGAAAACTCAAACCAATTATAGATTTAAATTTAGAGTTTGTTGTCTACAGCCTGTGTACATTTCAGAGTTTATTAAAATAAAATCGATTAAATTATGGCGGATACAAACGTACATGTTACTGACGCGTAAACGCGTCACTGGCCCAATGGAATAAACTCTTTAAATAATAAAATAATTAATTTAAATAAAAGGCATGGAAATAATTTATTTTTTGTACCAATCGCCCTATGGACAATTTAATTTGTTTAACTAATTATAACTGCTTTTTTAATGTTTAGATGCTACTGCCTACTACTACTACCGCCTCTTCAAAAAGTTCAATAGATGATGAAGAGTTTACATTATTGTAAGTTATTGAATTAATAACACATTTTATAGACTTTCAAAATGCACATTATAATACATTGCTTGTATATTTTAGTTGTAAAATTTTATGCCTTTTTTAAATAGTTGTGTGTACTTTTCTTGTAATTTATTTGTATATTTACTATTGATATATTTTGATAGGCAACATTTCTTGATTTTCATTATTTTTGGACTATATTTTAAATAATAACTGTTGATTTCAGATTAAAAACTATTGTAAAAAAATTGAAGAAAAAAAATAAAAAAGCAAATAAGGTTAGTATTCATATTTGTCTAAAATAGAAAATTATTAGTTTAATTAATTTTTTTATTAATTTTAGAAACAATCAAAACATGGAAATGTGTCCAATTTTACCAAAGATGATAAAGTAAAATGCAATGTATGCAAGCAGTTATTCTCAAAGAACTATTTTGCTATTCATATGCAATCTCATAATGCTTCATATAAATGTGATATTTGTGGCAAGAAATTTTCTTACCTTTCAATATTTAACAGACACAAAGCAACTCACAAACATGATATGGTAGTATACGAGTGTAAGTTATGTGATAAAACATTTAGAAACCCTAGTAATTTATCCAAACATGATACACTTCATGAACAAGATATTATAAAATGTCTATTTTGTTTTAAAACATTCAAGCATTTTGATGATTTTCTGGACCACATTAATATGTACTCATTTGACAAACGTTTTAAAAGTTTGACTAATCACATAAAAATACACAGTGAAGGCATACACTGTTTATCATGTTGTACATGTAAAATGAGTTTTGCAGAGCGCGATACCGTCATAAAATACATCACCTGATACATTTCATCAAATAACTAATATTAATTTGCCATTTAAACAAATACCTACATTATATTATGTTTAAATAAAGCATGATATTAAGTGTAATATATTATGTATGATAATTTTGTTTTTTTTACAAACTATTTTTATTGTAAAGTCGCTAATTTTATACAATTGTAATTATTTTAAATATTATACACGGATTATTTTAACTCATCTTTATTATCAATTAATTTATGTTAGAACTTATAGTATTAACATACTTAAGTGTAGTATTTATTTATTATTTGTTAACAAAATTAACTTTCAAATATACAATACTACATTTTTATAAAAGTACCTGATGTTAAAAAAACTCAATATTCCTAATGGAAAATATAATAATGTGAATTTTAGAATCTTAACTGTTTAATTGTTATAAACATGTTTATTTTATTATTTTTGACTTGTGTAGTTTTTATTTGAAAATCAAATGAAAAAACCAAGTTGCTCTGCTATACTGTAGGTTTTGAGTATGAACAAAGATATTGATGATAAAATATGATCTTAGTTCATATTTGATGCCGTTCATGGTCTAATTCTGTATTATTTATACTTTGTAGAGTGTGGATGGATAGACTTCAGAATATAACATACATTTTTAGATTACATGAATCAAATATACTATTTAGAATGAGGTATTTCATTTTATAACTCATATAAAATTGAAAACCAGAGTGAATTATTAAGCAATTAAGTCTATAACTTATCAATTATATTCCATATTGACCACACTACGTCAGTCACTGTAGAAACTCAGTCGAGCTCGACACTTAATAGATTAATAATACATTAATACCAAATTTTGTTTTTATTATAAACCCACATCCTTCAATCTATAACATCATTATAAATAAAAATATCAAACCATAAATTTACCAAAGTAAAAATGTTATGTGTTGTAGGTACAATTTATAGATAAAAAAGGGAGACTACAATTCTTACAAATTATCATATGGTTGTGTACCACAATCGTTGAATGGATGATTTGTTAATTTTCTTTGAACTTAGGTGTTGATAACACCTGTTAGTTGCCATTTCCATACATATTTTACTTGTTTTTGAATTTTGCGGTATCTTACATCAAAAATGTTGCTTTTAATTAGTGAAGGGATGAAAACTCTTGTTCTAAGCTCAGTTTATGTTATTTTGATTTTATAATAGATGTAACGTCTTGCAATCTTATATGATACCCTAGGGCCTAGAACATGACCCATGAAGGAGAGCTAAGTCTTTAATCAATAGCCAATCAAGGAATGATGAGCCTCATTTTTAGATTTGTTTTATCAATTATTAGCAGTTATTAAATCTTATTATTATATTATTCAATTTATTACTTAGGTACCTAGGTATTATTACTACACTTATTCTCGTATAATAAAATATAATATTATACAGGATATCTTTATTATTGTTATACCGTCAAATACCAATAAAAATAAATAATGAATGTATCTATAATGAGCTTACGTCATGTTGATAGCGAGAACAAAAAAAAATAATTAATAATACACTTAGTATATTTTTAAGAATTTAAAATAAATATAATATTTTATGGTTAAATTATAATAAATTCTTGTTAATTTTTAACCTATTCTTCTTCGCTGTTTGTATCTTCTTCATCCGTATAATGTGCTATCAAAGCGTCCATTAATGGTTTTGCTTCCATTATTTCATTTTCATCGTAATTATACAAATGGAACATGCGGTCCAATATTTTTTGGATATTCACACCTCCCTTAAAATAGCCTGGTAAATTTGGTAAACCTTCCGGATTCTCTTTAAGGGCCATGTATGCCTAACATGTGTAATAATTATAATACTCATATTATTAAATCGTAATAGTACAATTAATGTCACAATATTAAATAGATAATATAGTTATGTTCACCATAAAATCAACAGGATTTTTTGGTCTCACTTTTGCAACTTGAACTATCAATTTAGTCAAATTAGGAGTGACGTATTTCATTACATATTCTTCGTTAGACAAACTTTCGATGTATTCGAAATCCGTAGCCTTCCTAAAATCTTCTAGCAATGTTAACTGTAAGATCCATAGATATTTTTGTATAACAATATTAGATGGTATTTTTCGTTATCTATTAGTAGAGTTCCTACTATAAAGTACAATAATAAAAACTTTTTCACGTAGTAAAAAATCTTGAAAATTAAATGCTAGGTTCTTTATAAGTATTATTAATGGAAGTTCAAAAATATTAAAGATATATTATATAAGCACAGTTAATTTTTTATATGCATATAATATTAAATTTCGAAAATTTTTAAACTATTTTCAGTTAGAAATTCATAAAAGTTTTTCTTTCTTTAGCTTACGTTAGACATTTTAAAAGAAGATTCCCCCGCAAATTGTTCTACATATTTAGATTTTAGACAGTACATATTTTTGCATATTTAACATTTGTAGGAGCATATTTTGTCGTTTACAATATATATATTTTTGAGTTGGATACGATTTTATTTTTGTACTCGTGATGGATTCTACATGGCACAGCAACCGATGAATAATATATAATTACCTTACCATATAGCAACTTCGATTATACATTTTTTATGTAATTATAATTTGAATTCATATCTATCATCTATGATTCACGCACGTGTTGTACCCCCCTCCCCAAAGGAAAAACAATAAATTATGCAGATATTCAATGATTTTCCGTGCAGAGGAGAAAATATCAAGTTACACGCTACCTTTACTATACGTCTATACAGTTAATTTTGTTTAGCCCCTATAACTTATTAGAGCCACTTATAACCGTAAACGATTAATTTTTCAGTCATTACATTATAATATAATATGTTAAACAGATATTTACTTTTTCCTTGAGTTGTTTGTGTTTATATTTTTGATGTTCAATGTTAATTTCTTCCTCTATTGAATTCGTTTCATTTAAATCAGTAATTTTCTCCAATATTCCTATAATTATTAACCTTAATACAGAATAAAACATAGAGTACCTACTTACATCGATATAGTTAATTATTATTATATTGAGCCTCATTCATGTACCACATTATGTTAGTTGTTAATTATTAAATTGTTAGACCTTAGTAAATAGTAGTATAATAAGTAATTACTAATTACTAATAATTAGTATGTTATAGGTACTATAATTTTTCAATCACCATGTTGTTGATTCAATTTGATTTCCTTTACAACTATACTTAAAAACTGTTCAAAACTTGGATCAAATTCTGGTAATTGAACTTTATTAGTATACAATTTTAGTGGTAAGTATGGAGATTCAATCATCTTTATCGGCGCATAATAAAAATTGAGTAATTTCAAGAGATTATTATGATTTTGTTCATTCCAAATTAAGTGTTTGCTAAAATAATCGAGTTATTACATTATTGTCCATTAATATATTGACCGATATTTTTAAAAATGGTTAATATTTTACGGTTTTTTTTTAATTTGTTTTTTCAGAATGGCTTTAGCTGCAACTACATTAGATACTACTGCGACGTCAGAATTTGATGAGTGTATTATGTCAACTTCTGAGAACAGGAGTCGTCTTTTTGCACTTTCATTTTTAAGCGTATTGGTGTTTGTATTTGTATGGATTTCACTGTTCTGTTCAGTGGGTAAAATATCACCCTCTGCGTTTTGCGTTAAATTAACTGTCAAATCTACAACAACATAATAAATAATAACACATCAATTGATATGCAAAAATACATACTATTATAATATAAGTACACCTAGCCTTTGATTTTTTTTATATATAGCCAATATTTGTGTATATATATATTATATTAATAAATATGCAATTAAACTATATACCTATATTATATAGTAGGTAGGTACCTACTAGGTAGATACATACGCAATAGTATTATTAAAATAAAAATGTATATATTTGAAATTTGTATAGGTACCTACCAGGCAATTTATTAATATCAATATTTGATTGAAGTAAATTCGTATCATCGAATCGGAATAGCATTTTGGCTTGATCTACTGTCGTTGGATATCCATCCAAGACATACCCACGTTTAAAAAGTGCTATTCTTTCATTCAATAATCTATAAAAAAAAAAAAAATATAAGAACCTATAGAATATAGCTGCAGATGGTATCTACATAAGAAAAATGTAAAAACGATTTACGGAATTAGATAAATATCTTCCAATTCATCATTATTGGCATCCATAGATGAATATAACATTGATAGCTTTTTATTTAATTCTGATATTTTGTTAGTTATAATTGGACTAATTTCAGCTTGGTCATCAGCATCATCTAATAAATCTTCCGAATCCTGGGTAAATTGACTTTTGTAGTACAGTAATCTGATTTCTTCTCTCTTCACAAAATAATTTGACACCATGCATAATTTGTTTATAAAAATTAATTATTTAAAACTCACAATTCCATTAATACAGTCTTGAGTTATTTTTTTTGGTTCCAAGTAAAGTAAACCATAAAACTGCGCGAGTTGAAGTGCAAGTTTGGTCTTACCAGAAGCCGGGGGGGACCGATTACAATTAATTTAATACTCTATGCAAAAAAATTACACTTTTATCTCTAATCAGTATACTACAAAATATACATTAAAAATTATTATTTTAAAAAAATGTTCACTTTAATGTTATGAACTATTTTGTACGTTTCAACTAAATATTTCATTGAATTCAGTATTGATGGTTTATTGTTGTACCATTCGAAGTTAGGCCACAATCGGTTAATGCTCGAATTGACTTTAATATCGGCTGACATAATTTGTTTATGTATGTCCTACGATCGTTTCGAAATTTAACTTTTACATAAGTGCTTAATTAGGTACAATCTGAATTTTTAGCTCACCTTGAGTTCATATTTATTCATGAATGTATTTAATGGCACAACCACTGGAGCTACATCGCACGACTTAGCGAGAGCCTATGCAAATATCATTTAAATACGAATACATTAGATTATTTATACTAGGTACACATGAATGGCTGAGTTATAATTTTATACTTACAGTGATGATTTGTTTTAATGTATTTATTGGACTTTCAACAGCAAAAATATAATGATACTCCAATGCTTGATCATCGGATATTACTTTATGTATCACCCTAACACAATTAATAAATAAACGCACAGTACTTAGTTATTTTATAAATCCATAAATAGGTATCTGAACCTGGCCAAGTCTTCAACGTGTATTACAGGTAAATGATTTTGGCTACTTGGTATTGGAAATATATCGGTAGTTTTACAAGCTGAGTCAAACGCGAATTGTAACAAATCTTGTTCAAACCCATATGTAAGTCCAGCCCAAACGATAATTGTTTTCACAATTTCTTTTAACTAAAAGCAAATAATAAATAAATATGTTGAAAAATTAATTAAAAAATTTTTAAAATTATGAGATGCGAAATGCAAATATATTTACTCCTTTTGTTTCATTCACAGCTAATACTTCAAGTTCAAATTCATAATGTTCCATATATTTCGGATTTGGAACTCTATTATTCACATCAAGCTCACTCATATAATGCTTTTTATATGAACAGTAGTTATATTTTAAATATTATTATTATTTATTTAATTTATTATACAAGTATAAGTTATAACTCGCTTACTTTTTTATTGACACCAGCCCAAGTCATCACAGTTGATATTACCACTATCAATTTTATGTTTTTTGAAACATTATAAGTACCTTTAAGGTTGAAGATTTCGCTCTTTAATGACCTGAATATTTTTTTTCCTTTAGCTAATGCCGCAATATCACTAGATATGTCGATTACTATGATACCGCAGGTTTTCAGTAACCCCAAAAGATCTGAACTGTTTACTTTCCTCACAACTTCATTCTAATTTCAATACAAATATCTATTAAATTTCAAATTATATTCTCAAAACCTTAGGTAATAAAATAGGTTACGCTATATAGAGTAGGTATAGAGTATAGACCTGCAGGAACCAGTCGATTGCGATCAATCTTTAGAGGAGTATTGGTCGATCGTATATCAAAAATTAACTATACCTGCAATATCGGTTGATCACGTGCATAATCTTAAACTAACTTTTAAGCTTAATATCCAAAATAAATTATTTCTTATCGAAGAAACACATAAAATTTTCCGATGAAGAAATAATAAAAGACTAATTTAATTGTACAATTTATTATTATGCTGCATATAATAATATAAATAATATACCTAATTAAATATAGTGGTCGCTCACAAGATACTTAAATGTTTGTAGTGTTGTACTTAGCTCACTTGCAGGGTGAGCTTAGGAATTTTAAATGGAGGAGAGGGGGCTTTAAAAAAAATAACAAATTGCCTGATCAAAAATTAAGAAGTACAATAATTGTAACTATATATGTAAGTACATATATTATATTATGTTTGTCAAGTGTCCATAGGGGTGGGCGGTTTTGAACCCTCTAGTCCTCCCCCTCCATTGAACACACCCCTGTTCACTTCTTGGAAAAGGATGGTGATCCCTTTATAGACCATATTCTAATATTACCCACTTTCAACTTTAATGATTCATCATCTACTGCTTCGATGTATATTTCATATGGAACTTCTGTTTGTATATCGTCATTGCTTAATTTATCTAATTTTTCAAACGATACGTCATCTTCTAAAGTTTTATTGAACACTCTATAGTTATATATTATTGCTTCTAACCGCTTTTTCGGTTCTATATTCAATAATCTAAAACCATATATTTTGTTATTCAAATTTAAAATGCCAATGTAAATGTAATAGAAATAATAATAATAATATGTAAATTATACAATAATATGTAAATATATGGTTACCTATATTATAATATATTAAAACTCACCTAAAAAATTCTATGCCTGTTAACCTATCAATAATATCATCAACAACAAACTCATCATTTTTTCCCACATTTAGTTCATTTATAATTTCAGACTGTTGAGACCCTGTGACATTTGATTGCCATTTTTGTGATATTAGTTGATAATTTTCTTTATTCGAATTGGATAAAAGGTCATGTGCTTTAGACATCTGATTATTTTTAGCCAACTTTGACGATATAAACTAAAGGATTAATATAATAAAAATATTAAAAATATTTATCATTATATTAACCATTGTCTATATATTTTAGTAACTATTTAATAACATATTAGTTATTACTCATTATGTTTAAATACCTTTATGAAATATTTTACATTAAATGAGTTCCCTGGACTGATGAAAATACGATTAAAATTATAAGACCATTCAGATATCTCCATACGCTTGATATATTGGTTAACATTGTTTTTGAGTTCAATTTCGTCAAAAACTAATCTAGGTAGATCACTGTCAGATAAAGTTGAATTAAAGATACTCATGTTGCAGGTACAGCAGCAAAACAGCAAAACAAATATAAATTAAACATAAGGCAATTAATACGGTTAATATAAATAACTTTTACCATGATAAATTACATATTGGTTGTTATGGTTTTATATACCTGTAATATACTAATATTTATTGTCCCATTCCTATACAACTCTTTGCCAAGTTTCAGTATATCACGTCAAATATTATGCAAATAAATTGTATACCAGGTTACGCTTTGTAAAAAAAAACGAAAAACTTAACCGAAATTTAGTACATAAACAGTAAAACATGTATGGGATACTGATTAAATACTCTTAGAGCTCTGCATAGTCTAAGCCTGGTCTGTACTGTCTAGTAAAAAATTTTACCATTTTACTCTTGGGTTCTGACTAGAAAAAAAAATGTTGATAATTTATTGAAATAACGACGTATTTAAATAAAAGTTTAGACTTGTAAGCTTTATAAGACCGTAGAGAACGATTGAATTACCTACATTTTAAAATTGTTTTTAGTTACTTTACTTAGCACTTACTCACTCACTTGTATTTTAATCTCCTGGTATTTAACTTACAGTGAACTATTGTTGATTGTAATAAATAATAGTATATAACTTATGAGCTATCGTCAAAAAAATATTACATATATAATACAAATGGAAAGATTTTAGATGATAATGAATTAAAGGCATTAAACACAACGATTATTAAATTTGGATGAACGATAACATTCTATATACATATGAATCTATAAAATTAAACCAAATAACTAGTCCTGCCGGAATTTGTCGAGATAAGAGAAAAACTGTGCACTTTAAAAAAAGGTGTTACAAAATTGAAAGCAACTATTTGTAATATTAAACTAACCCAAATATTTAATATTGGAGAGAAGTAGGTACTATCTGGGAAGCCGGGAGGTGATGAATTTTCTCACGGAACAAGTACGATTTTTAGTCATTTAAATTTTTGTCAAGTATACTGTATACGTATGCTATTTTTGGTCTGATGGGGAAGAAGTATTATAGACAATTTATAGTATAATATAATATAAAAAAAGTGAGTGGTGTCATGGGACACCCTGCAGAAACGAAGTTTCTTTTCCAACAAATATTATAGATTACAAATACATTTTAGTGGAACCATTAAAAAAAAGTAAATATCAATAAGTAAATGTATTTAAGTGTTTAATGAATTTAAGTAAATGTGAAAAATGAATAAAAATGAAAATTATTATTATTACCATTGATTTTAAATACTAGTATTTATAATCAATGGTAATATGCACTAACGCGAAATCTTATAACTTGACGACGTATAGAAGTACTCTATTACAATAAACCAAACCCTCCGTATTGCCTTATCTATCTATACATATTAGCCTTTGGTTGCAATTTATATAATATGCGAATTAATTCATAAAGCTAGGTACAATTAGGCCGGTTTGTCTATAAAAATCTATATCGTTTGACAAATAGTAGTTATTGAGTTGGAAACCCACCTGACCGTTCACCGTAGCTCGTAGGTATACCTATCCATAGAATAATACAATGCGAGAAAGTGATTTATTCCATGCGGAAAGCGACAATGCGACATGGTCGTCAGTCGGGCTGCTTCCGAGTCGTGTCCCGGATTACAAATTGCCATACTAGTTGAGTCTGGGCTTATTTATAAGATATTACACTATAAAAACAAAATAATTGGGTTCCGTTTTTTTTTTTAGTTATAAATACTAGTAAAAATAGTATTGTTGTAATATTATTAATATTCTGTGAATTTCCGTGAATATAAAATACAATAACTATTATTTAACAACTAATATAATAATATTTAATGTTTTGGATTTTTATTACCCTTTTTTTTTTTTAAATTCATTTTTACAAAATGTAATATATTTTGATCTGTGGTTCAGAAATAAAATTAATGCATAAGACTTAAGTCACTAATAACCTGAAAAAAATGTAACTCTAAGATAGTTAAAAGTAACCGAAGTTCATTGAAAAAGTTTAAAAAAAATAGTATAATTTTCATCTTTATATATATTTTTATAGTGTTGTTTATTGTACTTATAATAATATATTATGTCATTAACAAAATTGATGCCATTTTTTGTCATCGATAAGAATTAATTTACCTAAAGGCTCTGTCAAACAGAAAGCATTATTTTCAAGTCGCGTGATTTTGTAATTTGTTGTAACGCGGCGTTAATCACGCGCCTGAAAGCACCACGCCGACGAGCCATTTACCGCTTTAACGCGCTTTATAACGCGTTCCGTTTGACAGAGCCTTTACTCATAAATCATTTGTCATTGTTATTTATGTGTTGAGAGCTTTGACGGTATTGTTAGATATACGTAATGTTTTCTATAATATTTAAGGTACTAAATAGTTTTTTATAAGATCATAATACCTATGTTGATTTTGATAGTCAGCGTGAAATTTTTTTTTTCAATGTCACCCAATAATATTTCCTTAAAATATGCTTATTTTTCCTAAACTCGTATAATATTGTAACGGGCTGTGACTACGTATATATTAATAATAGTAATAATATATAAAATATTATATTGTATTAGGTAAAGTACGATTATAATATATATTATGTTCAATAATAGACATAGATGATACAGGGAGCACGTAACCCCGATAATAGTAATAATATCAGCATCCGAGCCTCCATATCAATAAGAACTAATTAAAGGTACAGCGCGAACACGTGATAGGTATACGCGCGCAATTTCCATATTCTAGGAAAGACGAAAAAGCCGTAAACAGCACAAATAGATAACTTTGGAAACATACAATCCGTAATTAACATCATTTTTCGTAAAAGACGTCAGAAATGACCTCAGGCAGATGCGGCGCGTGTACTATTTTTATACTAAAATGCCATAGGAGGGATCTATTAGGAATACCGACGAAATACGTCGATGGACAAGTGTCCATCAGACGAACACCAGCTGAGACGACGAGCACCAGCAGAGCAGCCACAAAGTCGATACTAAGTCACATCCCGTTAACCACGTTTTTATAAGTTAAATTATTTGGACTTAGTCTATTTAATGTGTTAAATAAATACAACTGAACTATCATTATAAAATCAACTTGTTATTTAATTCAAAATACGACCAAAACTGAGTTGAAGTGGTTGGCACGTTACAATATCATTCATCATTGATACGACATTATAATAATATTTTTTTTATTTTTTTGTCTACCTACGCATTTCATTGTCAACGGTGAGGAGTGCGAGCCGTCGTAACCCTCTCCCACTGCCCCAAAAGTGTACGTCAAGATAAT